AGGCAGAAGGCCGCCCACCAAGAGCCGGGGTCTGTCGGAGGTTTCTTCCGTTAAAGGGAGTTTTTCCTCCCCACTGTCACCAAGTGCTGCTCAGGGGGGATTTGTTGGGTTTTCCCTATGTAATAATATTGATAACAGTAAGGTCTAGACCTTAGTTTGTAAAGTGTCCTGAGATGACTTTTGTTGTGATTTGGCGCTATACAAATAAAATTTGATTTGATTTGATTTGTGCTTTGTCTTTACGGGCTGAACGGGAGCGCGTGGATGGGAAGAACACTATGGCTGCACAATGCAGAAGCAAACCTGAAAGAGAAACCTTTTTTAAATTTTTTGGATAATGGTCCAGGTGTGGTGTGTAGACCGCCTCAAGTTAGGCCCCTTCATGTTACGTCACTCAAGTCACACCTCTCCACTCATGTCCAATATGTCACACAATTTATGCCCTATGGGCCAATCAGAGAACGAGCTGTCACATCAAAATCACCGCCAACTTCAGAAGAAAGAAGAATATCTTAGTTAGCATTAGCTCCTTAGCCTCAAGGACTATGACATTGATATTTCTTTTTTTTTTTACTTTATTTGCGCAATAGAACATAAAACAAGTTGAACATTGCAGTCACCTAGCAGTCATGACGCCACAATGTATATGCAAACGCTATATTACGAACAATCAGTGAGCGTGAGCTTGTTGCCAGGCGTCCTGTCAGTCTTAGTGGAGGTTTATGGGGAAAAGGATTTTCAGTTGCAGTACTGCGAGTGACCACTGAGGCTGCTTGTTGAGACTGGTCGTGCATCCATGATGCAGTTTCTATGGTAAACGTCCAACGATGATGGAATCGCCGATTCAGACTGACAGCTTGACAGCAGCTCAGTGTTAGCAGACAACAGCAACACTGAGCTGGCCTTTGTCCTACTCCACCACCATCGTGGCTGCAGAGGCTGGGTGCAGTGACCTCTGACCTCCTTCTGGTTGGATGCAGATACAGAGGTGCAGCCAGTCCTCATCACTGATTCACCTACCGATTCTCTTTACAAAAGTTTTGTCCACAAAATGTCAGGAAATAGAGGACATCAGTTTCAGCCCTTCACACACTATCCCATAATAAAATCCAGTGTCATGGTTGCACCACATGATGACGGACACATCTTGGCCTGCAGAGCTGTACTGATAATAAGGATTAGGATAAGGATAATCACCTTTATTTGGCCAAGTATGTGGGCTGGGGGTGACATGATGTTAGGCTACAGAGCTACCAGGTTGCTAGTGCTCACAAATCTTTAATTCAAGAGCACAAATGAGTTGTTCTTCCACGAGACACCGAGCAGCTCTCAGATGAAACAGATGACAGGAAAGATGTCTGACTTTGGTGATTAAAGGCTCCCTTTGCTCAGAGCTGTTACGTAGAAAACTACAGATCTCTGGCCTTAAAGACTACAACTCCCAGAGGAGTAGTGCTTGTGAAAGGTATGTTTGAGATGAGCGCTCTGAGCCCGAGGTGAAACCAATTGTGTCTGATCCTAACTGCACTGTAAAAAGTCTACCATTAAATACAGAGAACACCCACAGGTGTATGTCCTAAAAATAAAGAGTTCAAAAAGGACTGTCCTGCCTGTTCACCACTGTCTGCGTTTGTAGACCAAATGTCCTGAGAATAAATCTCAGTCCTCCGCTGGAGCTGGAGACTCAGAACCACCACAAAGAGACTCCTCTCTGGGGCTCCTACACTGTAAGTCATTAGAAATCTAAGCTGCCTTAATGCCTCAAAAATGTGAGTTCAGCTTGAGCGGTTAGCTCGGAGTCATTTGATGAGTTTTGAAAATGTGAAACTAATTGTTTGTGTTAATTTTCATCTCCTTCTGCTTCAACTGAGAAAACTGGAGCTACAGGAGAAAAGTACCAACCGCTGGAGATTCTGTAGATGTAAAGAGGACATGGAGCGCTTCACTGAGCCAACACACTGTACCCAGGACCCCAGTTTGTCCATGTTTGAACGTCATGTCTTGGACACATATACCGCTCCTGTTTTACTGGCTGAGCATTATCAGGTCCGACCAGATCAACTCTGATGGTCCCCAGGTCAGTTCTGGTTCTGCTGTCTTCGAGGAAGAGTATTTCTGCATGTTGGAGCTCAGATGTTTTGGACCTGCTGACCTGACCACTTTACAAACTGTTGTCTGCAGCTGACCAGCACAGTTATCAGTGGGAACACGGAGCCATGTCTTCATGGTTTGGCCCATTTGAATGTTTCATTATGAGCATGCTCGAGTGTCAGAGCTGCTTTCAGCTGTGGAGTCTGAGCTGAAGATCTGCTGCCTCATTAGAGGCACTGAAGTGTCAGTCAGCCTCCACTCAAGCACGCACCCACACTGAGGGTTGAAATAGGCTGCAGTCAGATAGAAATGCAGAGAAATGAGGGCACAGTGGAGTGCACGTCGGCACATCATACAGTACGAGGCTGTGACCTACATATGACCTGTTGAGTCTAAATCCACTCACTCAGAGTCCCACTGCACAGAACTAGGAAGTCTCTGAGGATGGGAACTAATCAGCCCTCACACTAATGATTTGTTCTCTTAAATGAGTTCTTTTGCACATCGTCCCTGCGGCCACAGAGTCTGGCAGTCTCTGAGCTGGACCTCTGTAGCACGAGCACCGTTTCACACTGAGACAACATCAGTGTGAATACATCAGACAACCAGCTGCCTGTTCTCGCACACGATGCTAACACCTGAAGTCAAAGCTGAAGTAACAGCACTTCACAACTACAAATCAGTAATAAGCTCAGGGCCTCAACTGAAGCACTTAAACACTGAGCTGTCAGTTTATTACCTGTGTCAATCTGAGTCAGTCTAACCCCACATTCTTGCAGTAAACCCTCCTCCATGAAGGCGATAGCATTCAGTTTGTGTTCACCCTGGACTGGTCGATACTGAGAGCTGCTTCTCCTATTTAGTCCAGCCTGTTTACATCAGTGAGTGTGAATATAAAGGCTCAAGTTCTGTTTGTGCGCAGCAGAAGATTAAAACACAACTTGCACACAGTCGACCACAACGAGATGTCGTCTGTGCTGCTGCTCCACCATTTAGCAATGGAGCAAGACGCATGGCAGGTTTTTGTTTTGACACGTGGACAGTTTCTGTTTGGAAACACACACACACACTGCTGTAAACTGCACGTAAAGAGTGAGCCAGCCCACTCCCTAAACACACTTTGACTTGCACCAGCTTTGTGCTCTGACCAGCCTTATCAGACAGAGACAAGGCGACGGACGTAAAGAAAAAGCAAGAGAGAGAGAGAAGAGAAAGGAACAGACAAAGGGTGAGAAACCTAACGAGAGAAAGGGGAGAGAGTGAAAACCAGTGATATGTGAGACAAGCTCATATGTACAGTATGTATGTGCAGAGGTATGACACACACAGACACACACAGCAACAATTCATCCACTGAATGTTGTAAAAGCCTTATTTTGACACATGAGTGACTGAAGTGACAGACAGGAAGCGACAGCGAGTGAGCCAGGGCGATCGAACATGTGTTAAAGATGTGTTAATAGTGACAAATGTCGAGCTGACGCAGTGACGAGTACCAGTGCTCGGCCTCAGGCTCATTCACAAACATTGTTTGCTGACACTTTCCAGCTCCTTGCCACCTGACTAGGAAGCTTTTAACTTAACTTTAACTTTATTGTCATTGTACATTGTACAACGAAATTAAAAATGCAATCCTTCGATGATAAAAAATAATCATAAACAATAAAACCCAACAAATTTACACACTCGCATCCATACACATCTGACTATTGCACAGTTCTCATAAAATCCCATCTATCATTCAGATTTGAAGGTTTTAGCAGCATTTAAAGCAACAATAGCTCTCGGATAAAAACTGTTTCTTAATCTGTTTGTCCTTGCTATAATTGTTCTGTATCTTCTCCCCGAAGGCAGCAGTTCAAACAGACAGTGTTCAGGGTGTGATGGGTCCTGCAGAATGTTTTGTGCTTTTTTCAAGCAACGGGAACTGTACAGTTCTTCCAGAGAAGCAGTTTCTCATTCAGATTGTTTTTCTTCAAAAGACTGAGAAAATACAATCTCTGCTGGGCCTTCTTCACCAAAGCAGTGGTATTTGCGCCCCAAGTCAGGTGCTGCTCAAAGGTAACACCCAAGAACCTAAAGACGGCCACCCTCTCCACCTGATCTCCGTCGATGAACAGTGGCTTAATGTCCGTTTTATTTCTCCTAAAGTCCACTACCAGTTCCTTGGTCTTGGCGGTGTTGAGGATCAAGTTGTTTTCCCGACACCAGCCACAAAGCCGCTCTACCTCATCCCTGTAGGCAGACTCATCGTTCCTTGAGATAAGCCCCACCACAGTAGTGTCATCAGCAAACTTAATGATGGTATTGCTGGGGTGGGTAGGGGTACAGTCTTGTGTATAGAGGGTATAGAGCAGGGGACTCAGCACACAGCCCTGTGGGGAGCCGTTACTGAGGGTGAGGACAGTCAACATATAAGAACCTACTCTAACCCTCTGCGGGCGGGCAATCAAAAAATCCAAAATCCAAAGGCATATGGAGCTTTTCCAGGAAGCATAATCTTTTCTGCACTAGGAAGCATCTTACCTTCTCACAAACCTACCAGGAGGCCATCTGAGGCTGCAGCTACAGACCTGGATGAACTCGCTGACACCGGGACATCATACGTCAGCTTCTGTGAGGACCTTTTGCACAAACTCCAGTTCACAATGGAACTCAAGCAGCTTCATCGAGCCAAGGAGGAGGCCTACAGTCATGGGGACAGGATCTTGTACAGGCAGGCCAGGAACACACTCACAAGGGAGATGATCATAGTAGCTATAAGGAGCTACATCCCCCCACCCTCATCCCCGTGGCCTCTTTCAGAGACAAAAGATAACGAAGGCACCAGGCCCAGACAGTGACAGGAGCTCTTCTCCCTCTACACCAACAACTGTACCTCAGAGGACCCCCTTGTTAAAGTCCTAAAGTTCACAGACGGTCATTGGTCTCATTTGAGACAGTGACGAGGCAGCCTACTGACATGAGGTTGAGCAGCTGGTCCATATGGTCGCAACAACCTGGAGCTGAACATGCTGAACTTACCATGTGACTTCTCTCTGGGAACCTCATTACAAACATTTTACCTCCTGACTACCAAATTAGGAATCGTTTATCCTCTTGCTTCCTATCCTCACTTCCTATTTAAGAAGCCTTCTTTTCACATCTTACCTCATTAGGAAGCTAGATGGTTCTTTGCCTTCTTACTTCATTACTGGGATGCTCCCTTACTGTGCTTCTTGCTTCCTCACTAGAAATCTTCAATTCCTCTTTACTACAAAAGCTATGATGCTTTTTATCTCCTCTCTTTGAAATGAGGAGCCTTCCTTAACTCCTCACGTCCTTTCTAGAAAGCTGCCTGCCCTGTGTTTTTGTCCTTCAATTAAAAGTCTCTGATTTCTTTAATCTCTAGTTGGGGACACTGATATTTGTTTCTTCACTGACTCCCTCCAGCACATATGCTCATCCATATTTAATGTGCGGTGTCTGGCGGCCATGTGTGTGGGTACGACTGTGTAGAAATGAAATGGTCGGCACGGATTAGTGTATATATAGCAGTGTGTATATAACTGTGCTGTGTGCGGCTCCCTGCTGTCTGCCACCATCTGCTGCTTTCTGAAGCTGAATCAGAGTCGAGGACATGGCGGAGGAGCAGATCCCAAACACTCCAGCGACAGGAAACATTTTACTGTTGCTAGGAAACAAATTAAAACCACAGGAAGCATAAAAAACATGTCTGCCGACCCTGTTTCTGAAACCACAATTTACAATCTGAGTTTGGTTAGGAAGCTTCTTAGGCAGGGGGTCGGGAGGCTACAAAAGCTTCCTACTTAATCACCAAAGAAGCAAGCAGATAGGGAGCTTAGGTAATGTGGATGTGAAGATGTGTCCTAGTTTGACAGTAAGGATGAAAAGAGCTCTCTAATAAGGAAACAAGAAGGAACACATGCTTCTTGGTTAGGTAGTGAGGTGATAAGAAGCTTCCTTTTGAGGAACTAAAGAAGTTAATGCTTCCTAGTGAGGAAATAGGACATAGTTAGATAAGTAATGAACGTTGCTGCTGAGGTTATAAGGTGGTAAAAAGGAAGGAAGCAAGTAAGCAGAAAAAGATATCTCCTCCTAAACTGTGTCCTGGCTGGGGAGCTTAGAGGTCGAGGAGATGAGTGAGCAGAGGGTGTTTACATGTTTACAGAGCTTCATGCCTTCTGATATTCTTACAAGTGTCAGCACCAGTGACGGTAAATTTGATTGTGTGCGAGCAGAGTGTTTACAGGTGGGAACGGGAGTCTGCAGGTTATGATCAGACTTTACTGTGTATCAAGTATATTCTGATGCTTATAATTTTCTACTTGGATTGTTACTTGAGGCAAAGTATTTCTACACTGTGGTATTACTTTTTTTACTTGAGTAAAAACATGTATGCACTTCTTCCAACTGGTTTTTCCACAGGCGTGAGGGAAACCGACACTTTCAGCTTCACTGTAAATGTTTCAGTTGAGTATTGACAGTAGTTCTCTGGGGGGCCAGGACACAGACCTGCCTTGCCCAGGCCTCAGCAGCCAGCGTCAGCAGTATTAAAATAGTGTGAACCATAACATGTTGCTTGATCCTGTCTGCAGCTCGGCCGCCATGTCTAAAGCCACGGTGAAGAAGCTGCACTGGCGCTCCAAGGTAACAACACATGTTACGAGCTGGAAAGGAAAATGGTAATTTCTCTTTGCCATGTTTAACTCATTAACACTGTTGCCGTGTGGCTGTGTCTGCCTTGCCCTCCATCTTGTCTCCAGGTGCAGGAGAGCTTCGTCCCGCTGGGCGGGGGCTCAGGGGAGCTGGGGCTGGCCATCGGCGGGGGGGCCGACTACGGCGAGTTCCCATTTGTCACAGCAGCCCCTGGTGGTGGGGCCACAGTTGGTGACATCATCTTAGAAATTGGCGGGACGCCCGTATTGGGGATGACCCTTGGTGATGTCAGAGGAGTTCTCAACTCTTGTCCTCATCCAATCAGGATCAAGACTGTCTCACCAGGTGAGAGGACAGGTGTTTGTAAAGTGGTTTTCTGTTGTTCTTGCTGGTTTTTATTTACACTTCCTGAATTCTCCAGCTCATCCCCTGGAAACATTTGTCATCATTTCCAAAAAACATGTGCTGTAGTTTGAGCTGAAGTTGTATTTTCTGGTATATTATTATATGTTCACTTCTGAAGCACTTGGTAACTGATGAACACATGAAGAGAAAAGTTTGCAGAACTGAACTGATTCAATGATTAATCGACAGACAAAAACTGAACTAGCAATAATTTTCATCACCTCCACTTTCCATTTGGCAAACCAGATGTGGTGTAATTCCAGGTTCTAATAAATGTAGCACAGTAAAAGAATGAAATGTGCTGGAATAGAAGAAGCCCCCGTGTACAGTGCATGTACCTCCATTAAGTGCAGCAGTGTAGTTGCTTTAACCCACTGGGTGACATGATGCCACCCCCACCTGTGTCCCAGGCTCTTCTCTGTGTAAGGACCTCAGGTTATACCTCAGCAAGTGTTTCACTCCGGGCTCCATGGACAGTCACCTGCAGCAGCTCATCAGGGAGAACCTGTACCTGCGTGCTGTCCCCTGTAAGACACACCTGGACACACACACACACACAGTTTCTACTGTAGCGTGGTTAAAGGATGCAGCATGTGGTTTGGTAGGTTTTTTTGTTTGTTCTGCAACCAGAGAGTCCTTCTGACAAACACATTTAAACCACTTCACATGGAGTTTAATGCAGCTTTACTGCAGCTACAGTTTGCAGCTGAGTCATGTAGAACAGTGTAATAAAACACAAACTACAGCCATGTCTGTTGGCAGAAAATGAACACTTCCACCATGTCACAGCCTCTGTCAACTGTCCCCGTGTGATGACATCATGGTGCAGGTACGACCAGACAGCCCCGGGACGGAGAGATCTCAGGTGTGGACTACAACTTTGTGTCCATCGAGGAGTTTTTCTCTTTGGAGGAGTCTGGAGCTCTGCTGGAGAGTGGCAAGTTCAAAGGTACGAAAAACAAACGCACCCACAACAACACAACAGTACACACTGATGTTGTAAATGCATTTGTTACTGTGTGGCTTAAAGGTGCCACAGCGACTGACAGCATCTCTAACAGTCAGAACATTTAGTGGATGGGAGACCCGATCCCCCCGCCGGGTCAGACCCGCCACTGTGTCTGACCCACTGTCGTCCTCATGAAGCCATTCAGTGACCTAGAGCTGCAGCCATGAGTCAGTTCACTGGTAGAAAATGAACCTCAGCTATTTAGAAGCAACAGTCACCGACATGTTCTGGTTCCACCTTCTTTAATGTGAGGAGCTGATGCTTTTCTTTGTCCGACATGAGAATCAGCTGAGTCTCTGTGGATCTGCTGGTTGGACACAACGAGACGTGTAGAGACGCCACCTTTGGCTCTGGAGAGTCACAGTGGGACTTTTCTCCAGTGTCTGACATTCTGGGGACAAACGGATCAATCAGATCATCAGGATGATGATCAGCTGATGATCAGTGACCAGTACTGGAAGAACATGTAGGGGAAAGAGGAGCCTACAGCGACCTCCCAGACCAGGAGCAGACAGCAGCCTGTGGGGACGGCTAGAGGCTTGATCCCAGAGACAAGTCATCATGTGGGAGGCAACTGGGTTGGACAGCCCTCTGTCCGTGGGGGGTGGGGGTCAATTAAACAGTGTTTGGGAGGAAAAGAGGATTTTCTGTCTCTAATCTTCAAACCTGCCGTGCTACCCCCGTCCTACATCTCTCTTTACCACACTATAACCCCCCCTCCCCCAGTATTAATCTGATGGGATTAATGGGACTAAAATAGAAACTGAATCCACACATGAATGTCCATGTTCACACTAAATAAAATGACATTTTATTATCTGACTGAACATTTTGATTTCACAGTCTCCATCTTCTGGGTTCCTGTTGACAGTCTTCTTTCACAATAAAAGCCTGTTGTGGCTTTTCCTTCTTTTATTTTTTGATTTTTTTGACTGATCTCAGGAACGTATATTTCAGGGAGCACTGACTCGTGACCAATCATGTCTCTGTGTTCTCTCCAGTGATTACATTTAGCTCCTCTTGCCTTTTCCTACCTGGTTCTTTTCCCATTGTTCATTACCTTTGTTTTATTTTTATTGTCTTTTGTATCAGCGCTTTATTTTTTCCTGTTTACTTTACTTTATGTACCCGTGTTTCCACAGTGGAGCCTGTGGACTTACATTTTCATATGCTGCTTCATTCCCACTGTCTTGGCAGTTTAATAAAGAACTAATCGGATGTAGTGTGTGATCTTTACTGTGAGACTGGTGCAGCTCCTACTGGGTGGACTGGTGTGACAAGATTTAGCTGTGGAAATAAAATGCACAGTATCTACTCCAACATCACTATCCAGTCCCAGCTGTGATGTGCTGATTGTTTTATTTGTCATCCAATCACAGGGAACTACTACGGGACGCCCCGGCCCGTCCACATTGGCCCGGAGAGTCCACCAATCACGTACCAGGAGCATCGAAACCTGCTCAGGAACTTCAGGACAAGGAGCAAATCTCTGAGTAACCTGGAGAAAGCTGTGGAGGAGGGAGACATCAGCGAGGAGGACAGTGCACTGTCGGGTACGTACACACCCAGTGGTCAGTTTATTAGGAACCCCGCATCAGACTGAGTCAGTCTGATCCAACAGTGTTGCAGTAAGTCCTCCTTCATTCAGGCTGGCCAGAGGTACTCAGCCCTTCCACTGAAGTATCATGGTCACAGAGTAAAACCATTCAGACTTTATTGGCCATGCGTGATTAGAGGTTGGCTCTCTGTGTGCTTTGTAAGGCAACAATAAATAAAAAATGAATTTAGTTAAAGTCTGTGTATTCAAATGGGACAATGTGCAATCAGTAGGAGAAAGAACAGGAGAAAAAGAGACACGATCCTTATAAATGTACAGATTAGGCAGATCGATATATGCAGTGGTTATATTTACATCTTATTGCACTGTGGTGATTTCTGTGTCCTGTCATACAGCATGTGTACAAATCCTGCTTTACTTGCCTAAGTACTGAAAGTAAAAATACTCGGCACCACCTAGAATTACAGTGTCTCATTTCATACAATACATTATTGGACACTAGGGCTGCAGCTGAGTTAGGGTTAGCTGACGTTGACTACTTCATGTACCTCCTCCGAATCAAACCAGAACTATATATCAAACTCTATTAGTGATTCTACTTTGTATTTTGAATCTGCACATGCCAAGTAACTAAAGCTTTGAAAAAAGCACAGTGCCAATATTTCCCTCAAAGACATCAGATGGAAATACATACAGTAGGTGAAGCTGTAGCTGGAACGAGCAAAGGTTCCCAACATGTGGACCGCGTGACTCTGAGGGCCACGAGATGATTAACGGGAGAAAAAACAAACGTTCTTTTGCATGAAATAGAACTTTTCTCCAATTTGTGCTTTTTGTGAAATACTGGAAAGTTTGGCCTCAAACATTTGTCTGAATGAAACCATGTGAACAGTTTAGAGGAAACGTCTCTGATGGAGCTGAAACCTGACAATAGGCACAAGCAGAATCTAATTTTTGTACGACATTTTAGCGCTGCCTTGGCGGCGTAGGCGGCGGCCACCAGTCGCACACACGCTGTGTGTCAAGAGACCAGAAGTGAATCTGGACTTCAGCAGCTTCCCTTTCACTTTGAGCCAAATTATCTTGCGTCTGGGAAAACGTCCATGGCCTGGATCAGACCGAACACAGTGTGTGTGTGTTATTTGTTCTGGTTTCTGTTTGTAGACTCAGACTTGTTTGTGATGCTGGTTGTCCTCTCTAATGAAACTCCTAACACACACACTCTCTATCAGCAGGTTCAGCCGGTGCCCCGCCCACCACACTGCCTCACAGTCAGTCATGGGAGTCAGCAGCGGGGAGCCGGGAGGGGATGGAGAACGGAAGTGGAGGAGGAAGAGGACTAGGGAGAGGAAGAGGAGGAGGTCCGCTGCCTGAGAACTGGGAGATGGCCTTCAGTGATTCAGGAGAGCCGTACTACATCGAGTGAGTATCAATATCAGTGAGCGATCATGTATTAGAACTTTTAGTCCCAGCTGAGTCGGACAGTTTAGCGGAGCTGTGGAGCTCTCATGATGTTTCATGTTACAATGTGAAGCCTGGTGCATTCGAACACTTTATTTCTGTGCTAGGCCTGATTATGTGGACCAGTACGCCTTAGTTTTAATGAGTGACTGTTCAGGTTCAGGTTATGGCCCCCTCTAACCTCCCTGAACCTCTGTGACTTTATTCACATGATGGCAGACCCTCAGTCACTGTCAGTGTGTTTATGAATGCAGAGGTTTTGAAATGCAGCCAAACAAGCTGTAGTTTAACTTAGAGTCACAGCCAGTGTTCCTACATTACCCAGGATTCACTGTGAAGAGACTGGTGATGAAGGTGATCTAGAGTCATGCTTCCATCGTTTCCAGTCTACTGTACTCCAGAGTTAATCAGTCTCCCTTTCTCATCTCCAGCTGGTTCAAAATGCCGCTGCTTGGAGCCGTGACCACATAACCCTGGTTCTGGCTTCCAGTTCATTTTGGAATAGATTTAAAATGACCATTATTTGTTTTTAAGGCACTAATGGACTGGCCCCCTCTAACCTCCCTGAACCTCTGCAGCGTTACAAGACAGTTAGATTCCTTGGGTCCCCAGATCAGTTCCTTCTAAACGTACCAGGGGCCAGATACAAGCGCCGGGGCGACCAAATGACCCCAACACTGTGGAGCGGTTTGCATGTTAACATTTGATCTGACAGTCTTTATGTCACTTTCCATGACCTTTGGACCACAGTGGAGTTGACATGTCTCCTCTTCTAATGTTTGACTGTGTTTCTTTCTCTTTACTTTATTTCTATGTATGTGAAGTACTTTGGTCAATAAGTTGTTGTTTTTAAAGTTCTACATAAATAAATTTTGATTTGATTTTGATGTCGTCTGTCAGTCATAAATCAAAGACGACCAGCTGGCTGGATCCTCGAGCTCAGAACAAAGAGACAACCTCCTGCACAGAACGTAAGTCTGTTTGATTGATCAACTGATCGATGGCCTCAGCACCGCCTACTGCTGCTAGTGGTTTGTTGAGATGAAGTTTTAAAGAAGTTTTGAACCAGCACCACCATGGACTGGGACGTAGCATTTTTATTCATTTCATTTCTTTTCATTTGTTTGATCATATTTAAGGATAATAGCATAATAAGGATATGGATTTAGATCTAATACATGAATACATTAATTTGCTTCATTTATTTATTCACATTTCCTTCATGACTCTTTCAGTGCTTTTACTGTATGTGACGTGCGAGCTCTGAACGAGAACCACAGCATTACAGTTAGAAAAGTGTTTGATGTACAATTTACAAAATAGAATTCCTAGAACATTGTAGAGGTTCATAACTTTTATTTTTCATGAGTTAAGTAGGAAATATTTTAGCTCTGAGTTGCAACTTTCAATATACATGTATTTAGATTATCTGTTGTTTTAAAAATACAGTTATGTCATAATGTTTTATTGTGCAGTGATAACTTTTATCTTATTTTCATAATAACAATAATAATATGAAGGTAAAAGTCATGTGTTTTAGCTCGTTTCATGATTATGATGTAGTCACTTATAATTTAGACTAAAAGCATCAAATATGTGGAAACGTCATTTTAATTATGAGATTATAATGTTAATATTTACAGCCTTTGTATTTAGTGTTTATTTATTACTATTTATTGTTTCTAAATTGGTTTGTGATGAACTATCTGATCTGCAGCTGAGGAGCAGAGAAACTCGCTTCCTGTTGGGACTTTTATTTTGACAGCAGCAGCCAGCAGGGGGCAGCAAAGACTCAGACACATACACGTCCTGTCTGACATCACCACAGTTTGATTCGCTAGAATCTCTTGTTGGAGAATTTGATTTAGAATTGAGTGTTTGTCCACAGCTGAGGGCTCGAATCAGGTTTTAAAGATGCACCCAGCCTGTCCTCTACTGTTGTCCACTATCCTCTCATGTGTTCTGCTGTCCTCTGGCTCTCTACTGCCTTCTGCAGTCCTTCACTCTTTTCTAATACCCTCTGCTCTTTCCTGC